AGAAGCCTTGTTTGACTTGACTTTCGCCATTCAAGTGAACCATTCGTTAACTATTAACAAATATTCATTTGGTCATATTCAACTCTACCAGTCTTTAATAGTTAACAAATCTCGTTTGGAATAAATGAATTATTATCAGTGCAGCCGGGAATTGAACCCGGGTCTATCGCATGCCAATCCCACACTCGAACCACACAGCCACAGCCCTCGGTGCCTATAGTATAGTTATTTTTGTTAATAAATTAGCAATACACTGTTAAAAAATTTTGTTTGAATTTTCCGTGTCAAATCCCGGAAATCATGTTCAATTTCCACTGAAATTTAGGAAGATCTTGTCATCGAAAAATCAAGTATTCCGCTGTTTTTCTGTTCGAATGATCTGAAAATCAATTAAATACTTGATTTTTCAGTTCAATCATTCCGTGAAAATTCTGAAAAGTCTGGAAAATTCAAGGAAAAGTTGAAAATTCATGTTATTTTGTTCCTGATCATTCATGTTCTATTGAAAATTCAATTAAGTTATGAAATTTCCGTCTTACTCGAAATTCGAGATGAGGACGTAACTTTGCGGGTGCAAATAGGATTTATCCCAGTACATCTCGTCCCATCTTTTACAATAAACCTTCATCACTCCCCTGAATGTATATCCCGAAACATTTTTAATGAACACGTATTTCACCCGGAGAACCGCAAAAAATATGTTAACTTTAAGTTCAACGTTAATTCCAAGTGTCACGTTGAGTTACGGCTCGTCGGATTTNGGGGGGGGGGGGGGGGGGGGTTGAATGTCCTGCCTCTATTTACGCCGGTCATGGGTCACGCGCGGTTTGCAGTCACTACCAAGTGGAGTAAAAGTACGTCATGTATATATGCAACACAAAAGTTGGACATTCGATACATAGAATCCCAGGGCCCCAGGGGGGACCTGGGCCGCTACAGACTGGCATACAACTCCAACATTTTTTTTCGCCTCTCACCCTCCAGTCGCGCTGAAAAACTCAACTTTCTGGTGAAGAAGGAAGAGGAAAAAATGAAAAAGTGAAAAAGAATAACTGGGTTACTTCGGGGCGATTCTCCACGGACTATTTCAACACATAAAAACCATCTTCCCTTTCGGAAGTTAACGAAAAGTTGAAATCCAGCTGAGCTGTGTGAAAATCTTGATAGCACTGAGAAAAAAAATTTGCTCTGCCCAAAAACTATATGCTCTATGGAGTGAAGCAGATTTACTTGAGGGAAATTACCCAACTTAATGGAAGAAAATTAAATTTTTGTCGTTATCATCAGAAATATCCCTAGAAGAATTCAAACTGTTGGCAGGGAAAAATATAATCTATTGTACGACAATCATTTGATCTGAGAGAACTCCATAGGTTTATACCATAGAAAGAATACATTAAAAAGTTGAATGCATGATAATTGTCATGATAATTATGATGGATTGATGATCCCTGTCAATCTCACTTCCAAACCCTGACGGTTTAGTAACTCGATTACACGGGGTCGAGGCTGTCACTCGAGTGTCCACGTGTTTCATTCACGAAGACAATTAGAATATCACCGTCGTTCAACGTCAATCGACCTCAACTCCATGCGATATCTGCGAGGAAGAGTAATTGAAGGATCCGTTTGTCAAATAGTTCAGATAAGCAGATTGCGCACTAATTTCATCGAGTCAAGAACCCCAGACGTTTATCTCAGCCACAATCTACGTTTCGAAATTGAATGATTATCAAAATCAGTGCTCCGTAGAATCACAATTGAAATTTGTATCATCAACAATAATATTGACAGATATGGATTTGTCCGCGAATTATGCAATTGACTTGTTCGTGTTACGTTATAATTCAATTGATTCGCATTCAATTATCTCTACTTCCTCAATCGATGAGAAGGAAATAATTCTCGTACAACGTAAAGTGCACGACAGCCCAATTCCCGATCGCACTACTCCTAGGATTAACCAACGTCGTTACGTTGACACTCGATAAGAGCGGGTTATCTGGTCACCTTAAGATCTCGATAAATCAGAGTTAGAAATAGCCCAGCAGGTAGCTGGATTAATTACTTCGCAATTTCGATAAGATGCGAATATGAAACACCAATGGCAATCGGCCAATACTTTAACGGATATATAAGGCGATTTAGCAAGTGTCTAGCATCATTCCAGGTACAAACATCAACATGTTCAGGTTGTTCGCCCTAACAGCCATTTTGGCAGTGGTTGCCAGTGAGTAAAACTTTTCTAATTGATTCGATAAAACCGCAGTAGAGGAGCAATTTTCAAATTTCACTAGCTGAATTTTGTCACTGAAATGTCTGCTTTCGAATTCAGCCGATCCTCTGAGGTCGGAGCCCCGCGCCAACTCTGATAGCCGCATCATCGGTGGCGAGGAAACGACGATTGAGGAAGCTCCTCACCAAGTCAGCTTGCAGCTCTACGAGGACCATTGGTGCGGTGGTAGCATTATCTCCGATACCTGGATTTTGACTGCTGGTCACTGTGTTGATCATTCTCCAGAGGTATTCTCTGTCCGTGCTGGCAGTTCCGGTCACACACAAGGTGGTTCAATCCACCAGGTCGTGGAGATCATCCGCCACAGCGGCTATGCTTCTGACAAGTACCATCGCCCAATAAAGGACATTGCTCTTGTCCGCGTCGCTGAGCCATTCGTCTTCGACGAGACTCGTCGCGCTATTGAGCTGCCTGGAATGGATGATGTGTCGCCCGCAGGAGTAATGGCCACCATCACTGGGTGGGGATCCACTACCAAAGGAGAGCCCGTAGTCCTTGAGACTGTCCAGGTGCCAATCATCTCCAAGGAGGACTGCTACCAACAATACGCTAAGCTAGAAGGCATTTACGACGGAGAAATCTGCGCTGCTTACCCAGAGGGCGGTAAAGATGCCTGCCATGGTGACTCCGGAGGCCCATTGACCATCAATGGACGTCTTGCTGGTATCATCTCCTGGGGGTACGACTGCGCAGAACCTGGATATCCCGGTGTCTACGCAGAGGTCGCTGCATACCGTGCCTGGATCAGGGCAAATGCCGATGTTTGAATACTTCGATCATGAAATCTCTACTCTATTATATACCTGTGATCATACTCAACCATCACTATCATCAGGCTATGAATATCCATCCTTTTCTACGAAAATAAATGCTCTAAAATGAAGTTGAAGTAGTTCATTCCTTCGGCCTCTGATTTCCCGCTCCTTTCTGCAAAAATCTAATCATCTCTGAATGATCTGCAATACCCACTATGATAAGATTACTATTGATATCAATATAAGAAATAAAGAAAGTCATTAAAAAATGCAGATAGTACTCGAGTCCATCTCATTCCGTTTCCCTCAAAAAGGCAAGGCAGTTGCACAATGCTCTCAGTTCTGGATAACCCATTTCACTGCAAACCCAGTATGAAGCTCGTTATCTTGATTGCGGTATCAGCAGTAGCAGCTGGTAATTATAATCTTCGATTCGCTGTGTCCAAATCTCCATTGTAAATCCTGCTGAACAATCGTGTTGATCTGATTCCAGGCGATGCCCTGCCATCGACATTCTTTGAAAAGGCAGTGGGCTCGGGCAATCGGATCATCGGTGGTAGGAATGCAACAATCGAGGAAGTTCCGTACCAGATCAGTCTTCAGTACACCAACACTCACAACTGCGGTGGCAGCATCATCTCGAAGGACTGGGTAGTGACAGCTGGCCACTGCGTCGGTGGCTCGGCAGCTTACTACTCTGTCCATGCTGGTTCTTCATTCCACAATAGAAATGGAACGAGACATAACGCAACCCGAATTGTGAGACACCAGGCTTACAATATAACTGATGCTGGGATTCCAGTTTACGACATTGCGCTGGTCCGAGTGTCTCCGCCATTCGTCTTCAACAGCAACCACCAGTCAGTGAAGCTGTTTGGCCTTGGGGAGCCAGCTCCTGCCAATGCCACGAGCACCATCACCGGTTGGGGTCGGACTGAGAACGGAACGGCTAAGATTCTTCAGCTTGTGACTATTCCCATCGTTTCCAAAACTGCTTGCGACGAGAGTTATCAGGGATATGGTGGTATTCCTGATGGACAAATCTGCGCTGCCTACCCTCAAGGAGGCAAAGACTCCTGCCAAGGTGACTCCGGAGGTCCATTGACTATTGGCGGACGTCTTGCTGGAATTGTTTCGTGGGGATATGGCTGTGCTGTCGCAGGAAATCCTGGAGTTTACACCGAAATCGCTGCCTATCGCTTTTGGATCAAGTCTATTACTGGGGTTTAATCCATTCTAATTAATTTCTCTTCGATGTAATTGTTGTGATGAAATACAGGGAGATGTTAAAGAAATATTATTTTGAATTTCCATGTGATTATTAGACTTTCTGAAATTTTTAATTTATTGAAATAGGGCATTAATTGGAGGTAATGCATTCTTCGGGATTTTCAAATCTCTTTTGAATCGTTATATTGAAACGAATGAAATCTTGAATTTATCACAGATCTGATAAAATCAATTGATGGTCCCTGTCAATCTCACGTCCAAAGTCTGGGAGTTTGGTGATCTGATGACACCTATAGTGAGGCTATCACTCGACTGTCCACGTGTTTCATTCATGGACACAATGAGAATATCAATGCCATTCAATGTCAATCGACCTCAAATCCGTGCGATATCTGCGAGGATGAGAAATTGGAGAATCCATTCGTCAAATAGTCCAGATAACGCGGATTTCGGACTGATTTCATCGAGTCAAGAAGCCCAGACGTTTATCTCAGATACAATCTACGTTTCGGAATTGAATAATTATCCACATCAATGCTTCGTAGAATCACAATAGCCATTTGTATCATCAACAATAATATTGACAGATATGGATTTGTCCACAAATTATGCAATTGAATTGTTCGCGTTACGTAATGCTTCAATTGATTCGTACAATTACCCCTACTTCCTCAACCGATGAGAAGGAAATAATTCTTGTACAATGTAAAGTGCACGATAACCCAATTCTCGATCGGACTAGTCATAGGATTAACCCTCGTCATTACGTCGACACTCGATAAGAGCGAGTTATCTGGTCACCTTAAGATCTCGATAAATCAGTGCTGGAAATAGTCAAGCTGATAGTTGGATTAATTAGTTCGGAATCTCGATAAGATCTGAATATGAAATACCGATGACAATCGATCACAATTTTAACGGATATATAAGGCGCATTAGTAAGGGTCTAGCATCATTCCGAGTACAAACATCAACATGTTCAGGTTGTTCGCCCTAACAGCCATTTTGGCAGTGGTTGTCGGTGAGTAAAACATTTCCAATTGATTCGGTAAAACCGCAGTAGAGGAGCAACTTTCAAATTTCACTAGCTGAATTTTGTAACTGAAATGTCTACTTTCGAATTCAGCCGATCCTCTGAGGTTGGAGCCTCGAGACAACTCGGATGGCCGCATCATCGGTGGCGAGGACACGACGATTGAGGGAGCTCCTCACCAAGTCAGCTTGCAGATCTCCGAGCGTCATTACTGTGGCGGCAGTATCATCTCCGATTCCTGGATTTTGACCGCAGGACACTGCGCTAGTTATTCTCCAGGAAGATACTCTATTCGTGCTGGCAGCTCCCATCACAGAAAAGGTGGTTCAGTCCACCAGGTCGTGGAGATCATCCGCCACAGTGGATACGGTGTTGACAAGTACAATCACCCAGTAAATGACATAGCTCTTATGCGCGTCACTGACCCATTCATCTTCAACAAGACTCGTCGGGCAATTAAGCTACATGGAATGGGACAAGTATCACCCGCTGGGGCAATGGCCACCATCACTGGATGGGGACAAACTTCCTTCGGAATGCCCAATGTCCTTCAGACTGTTCAGGTGCCAGTCATCTCCAAGGAAAATTGCTACCAACAGTACGGCGACAGCGGAGGCATTCCTGACGGAGAAATCTGTGCTGCTTACCCAGAGGGAGGTAAAGACTCTTGCCAAGGTGATTCCGGAGGCCCCATGACTGTCAATGGACAACTTGCTGGTGTCGTTTCCTGGGGATATGGCTGTGCGCAACCTGGAAATCCTGGTGTCTATACGGAAGTGGCTTCATACCGTGCCTGGATCAGGCACAATTCTAATGTTTAAGGATTTTGATAAAAAAATCTCTGCTATACCAAGTGTACCTGTCATCATACCATACCATACTTGATACCGTTGAGTATTATGTTATGAATATCAATTATGCTTTTTCAATAAATCCATTACGACTGAGTTTGAGTTAATTCCGGTGCGTTCTTTTCTGCATCCACTTGAATCGTACTGAATTTCTCCTCGATGTGAGTATCAAGACAAAATGGAATGATGGAATAAAACCAAATGTTATTGAGGATTTCATTGCAACACTCTTGAATTGATTGAAATTGTCTCCTCGAGTGGTGAGCGGCTGATAAAAATCTCGATCGCTTCTGGTTTTTCCAAATGGTTCAGAAATACTGTAGAATTTGTTCTTGCAATCTGATAGGACGACGAATTATGTGTATCGATGATTATCAGTGGAGTATATAAGCCGGAGAAATATGTGTTCAGTCATCAGTTGGCAATTAAAAGTCCATCGCAATGTTGAAACTCATCGTATTGGCGAGTGCACTCGCTGTCACAACTGGTAAGACTCGTGAACTAACCATCCAATTGGATGCTAATTGAGATAACTAAAATTCTGATGATCTCTCATCGTTTTAGCACATCCCTTCGCCCGCTCCAATGCCGATAGTCGCATCGTTGGTGGTGAAGCTACGCCAATCGACAAAGTTCCGTACCAAGTTAGCATTCAAATCGCAGACGAGCACCTGTGCGGAGGTAGCATTATCTCTGAAGAGTGGGTTATCACTGCTGGCCACTGCATGGACAATCCCGCGAAAAACTACACCATTCGCGTTGGTACCAATGACTGCACTGAAGGTGGTTCAGTCCGTGCAGTAGCTGAGTACAAGGTCCACGAACAGTATATATTGGAGTTCGGGGTCCTCCCCAGAAATGATATCGCTCTAGTCCGCGTCAAGACGCCCTTCGTCTTCAACAAGAATGTGCAAGCCATTGATCTTTATAAGCAAGGAGAAGAGGCAATCGTCGGTTCCATGGGTGTCATCACCGGATGGGGTGAGATGGGTGATAAGATCCCTGAAAAAGACGAGATAAACATTCTTCAACTCGCGCAAGTGCCAATCACTCCAAAGTCCACATGCTACGTTAATTTTAGTCGCGTTCCTAGGGGCCAGATCTGCGCTGGCTACCCAGAAGGCGGAAAAGACGCTTGCGGGGGTGACTCTGGTGGTCCACTTGCCATCGATGGACGTCTCGCTGGAATTGTCTCCTGGGGAACGGGATGCGCTGAACCGGAATATCCCGGAGTCTACACCGAAATTGCTTTCTATCGACGGTGGATCAAACGGAACTCCGGTGTTTGATTATAATGTTGTCTTCATTCATTCCTCATTTCATTGTATAATATCATACGACGTAGGAATCAATAAAATTATCTACATAACCATAACATTCACTGTTTCGATTCCACCGATTTCATTTACTTTTTCAACTCCCCGATAACGATAAAGCCCTCAAATTCTTCTTCATAAAATCAGATAAATGCTTTCTGGCCAGAAATTCAATCAAAAAAGAGAGGAGTGACAAACTCCACGTATCCGCAATATTTGTCAGAGCCGATAAAGTCCTTGATTGCCCTCAATGTCGCCGAAGCGATATAAATCATGCGTTAAACCACCGAATAGCGTTAGTCACGAATCGTGTCGGTGTCAGAGGAGTAGGGAGACCCTCAATGTATCAGTGCGCCATAAGGAAAGCTTAAGTGCGCACGCATATTATCACAAAATGGCGAAGAGTGGGGTGCTGTGGAGCTGCTCAAGGGGATGATATCAGGGAGTGGTGGCAGTGTAGGTTCGGCAGACGGCCGCAAGACGAATTGTCAGTGTCAAAATAGAAAGTGACGAACAAGAAGGATTTGGCAGGGCTGAACTGAGGATGTGGTTTAAGTTCGTTGCAGCAACGCTTGGCCTGGCAGCCGCGTCTCTAGGTAACAGGATCTTGATAATTATTGGATCACGCCGATCTATTGACGATTATCTTCCTTCAGAAATACTAATTAGTGCAAAGGCAGGGGTTTTCTGGTTTTGCGGTCAAGTAATCTAGATTTAGATTGTTTCAAGTTTTTGTCCTACTTTAGGATTGATGATGGTTGCTGAAGTGGAAACGAAACGCCGACTGAAATTTTATCAATTATAACTATTTAAATTTGGATTTGTGGACCGCAAACCCGAAAAAACCTTTTATTTAATCAATTGAAAATCAAAATTTCTTGGATACTAACTAGTATTCCACGCTTTAATTAATAATTTGTTCTTCAACAGCATATTCTGCCTCTTCGGACATCTGCCGCCATGTCACCACAGAGTTCAACAATACTCAAGTCCAGTTTCGGAAGAAACCGGACGGAACTGACTCATAACGATCGATAATATTTATGAAGGGCAATCCTAGTGGTTTGAAACAAGATTATCAACGAAATAAAAAATATCATACTTTCTACGTAAATGGATTATACAAGTTATTTCATTTTCTACGACTGAGGGGGTACCCAATTATCAATCAATATCATAATAAGGGATCATGGAATTAATTTTTCAAGGACATGTAATACTCTGAGCCAATGTTATTTAATGATCTCAATTAATAAATCAAGAAATTTAAAATTTAATCGCTGATTCTTCATCCCTCCACGTCAAATTGACAGAATATCACACATTTTATTCGTGTCTTTGTCGCTTTACAGGAAAGTAGGTACGAAAAACATCGATAATTTCCTCATTTCTGAATTATTGAATTATTATTTTGTAACAGGAAAATGATAAGAGCCTAAAGAAGCCCAATTTACTTGAATGAAAGGGTGAAATACATTTCAAATTTGTCACTATTGAATCATCTAATCGCGCAGGTGTTAGAATATTGATTTTGTTAGTTCTGGAGGGGATACCGGGCCCAAAGCAACAAGTAGTACGAACGAAATTGAGAGATCACTCTTCAAAATATTTTGCTATTGTCATCACTGAGAAAATACTAATATTTTGCTATTGTCCATTTTGCCAACCAAATTTGGTCGAGACAACCTAATGCCCATAGGATTTTCAACGTCGCATTACGAATTCTGGTCTCAATCAAATTTTAATGGCAGAATTCATTTTTTTCCTCATTTTAGAGAATTATATTACTCCAATCACAAAAAAAATCGACAAAAATTCCCATGTTTTTTATGTTTGAGAAAAATTTCACTTTTTCTAAAAAAAAAATCTAAAAAATCCAGTTTAAAAAAAAATTGAGAAAAATTGTATTTATTATTAACCCCTGACGGACGGGGCACTTCTGTTACCAAGCGTAGTGTTGCTTAAAACGGCTCACATTCGATTATTTCTAATGAATGCAAAATTATGAAACTGGTATCTAATTGAAGCTACAGTATTCGGGTTTTCAATTTTGTTTGTCGGATCAAGTTATTCTTCATAGATTTGGAAATAATCAATTTTGAAAACAAGCGTTCACATTCGCATGGGTCGATACCATGCATCGCCCGCGTACATGAGGGGTTAAAAAAACGAAAAAATTCCGGCAAGAAAATAGGTGATAGATTTTTAATTAATTGAATGAAGAAAAAAAAATTCTTACCCCGATCTCTAGGAAAAGTCAAGAAAATTCTCGTGTTTCTTTTCTTAATCGTGAAAAATTTCAATTTTTCTAGAACCAAATCTAAAAAACCCTGTTTAGCAAAAAAAACGCGGAAAATCTCCCCTCATTATCAAAAAGTCGAAAAGAATCCCCTGTAAAAAATTTCACTCTCTTCATAAATAAACAAGATTATGTATTTTAAATATTCAAAAAAATTCTAACGATGTGTTGCGTTTGGTTGACGTGATCCCGCCGAAATACGAAAAATGTTGGGACCAGCGCGCAAATTGGATTAATTAAATCGCGTTCAAGCCACGAATGTTCCTGTTTCCCTATTCCTCATTTAATTCCATTTTAATTCCACGTTCCCCGTATTCTCTACTCGATGATATGCGCCGGCTCGTACGACCAAAAGAAAGAGTGATATATAGATGCCGTACGTCCGAAGCTGCGTGGTGCCGGGTCCCCACTAACTCGACGTATTACGCACAACAGCCGTTTCGTCGCACAAACGTCGCGCATCTCGGATCGTGTCCTCACTGGACAAGTTTCCTTCATTCAAAGCGAAAAAGTAGCGAACGTTTTGGGTACGAAATAATTATCAAAGCTGATAAAGACATCCTTGAGTTCATCAACTGCATTTTATTTTTGCTAATAATCCACGAATATCGGGGAGAGGATTTAGCCATGAAGTCATCGATGTTTTGGCCTGTCGTGATGACAGTGACCCTCGGTGGGGCTGGCCTTGCGCTAGGTAAGTTCCAGAGCATTCCATTTGAATGCAAATTCCTTACGATAAAATTTCCACTTGGAATATTCTCCAAGAACGAATACTGCACTGAGAAAATAATTACTTTTGCCAGGAAATTATTTTCTCGGGAGAACACTTAGAAAATTACTCTTGAAATTTCAAGTGTAAAAGCTCAAAATTTTCAACAACGACACAGTTAAATGAAATTTATGTATATTTCTTCATTGACGAATCAGTTAATTTCTTGAATATTCAAGCAATTCTCGATTTTCCGGGCCATACGGCACTGAAAAACATTGAAAATTTCGAAAATTCAGGCAACAACTATTCTGAATTCTCAATCTATTCACGATGAGTTTAGAAATCCAAGTTTTCATTGAAAAATCAATGATTATTTAACATGAAAAACCCCAGTTTCTTGAATTTTCAAGATTAATGAGAAATTTGGTGAACGCTCTCATTTGAAATTGAATTCAACCTCACAACATCGAAAATTCAGATGACGCTGTGACTGAAATTTTAAGAAATTGTTGACAGTGAAGAATTTATATTTTTAAGAGCCTATTTCTCTCGGTCAGTCAGTCCTAGGTCGTTCAGGTCCACGTCCAAATATTACAATTACGTTGAATTATGGGATGATTATACTACATATGAACTCCACTGACAATTATTAACATTTAACATTATTTCAAATTATTTTACATGAGAAAATGTCAAATTTGAAAAAAATTGAGAAATGATGGTGTTTATTCAAGGTCATAATAGCAGAATCATTTTGTATTTCAACATAATTGTAATTTTTTTTCAATGTAATTTTGATAAAAATTGAATGAATATTCTTGATTGAGGAATAAAAATGATTGATTCAGGAATTTATCCTTAAAATTCTTCAATTGAAATATTTGATTCTTGAATAAAATTCTTGAATCCTTGAATTTTAATAATCCCAATTCGAGAATAGCTCCTCAAATTCTTGCATTTATAATATTTATTCTGCACGTGAAGAAATTCATTCGTGAATGAAGAAAAAAATTGAAATTTTAATCAAGAATTCAGAAAATCTGGCTTCCAAAATAAATTCATCCAATTAAAAAAAAATATCTACCTGAAGCTCTTGAATTAAAAGCATGGATTTTTCAATTGAGAAAGAAAATCTTGTCCCAAAAGTGTCAAGCTTCTCAATTGAAAAATTTAATAAAAAAATAATACAAATAATTATCAAAATCTATTTGAGAAATGCTCTCCAACAGCAGCATCTATCTCTCTACGGCTGGTTCGCGACGTAAGCAGCGTATTCCACGAGGTGCAGGGCCCATCCTTTAAGAAGCCTGAGGGAGAAGACGACAACTCATCAGTAACATCATAGCACACTTCCCACCATTTCCAGCATCAATGTTCGCTATTTCAAGTGTTACCTCTACCTCGAATCTAATGAAGACTGTAAACAACCTTTCATCACATTATTACAAATAAATTATGTAAAACTACTGAAATGTGACATCTGCATGATTGGAAGTTTTTAAAAAATTATAGAGTCCCTAAGTTACGAAATTCCTATCATATCGTCATTATTATTAACTTCCCGACCCGAAGGGAGGAAGTTATTGTAATGATTTTATTTAAGAATTAATTTCTCTTCCGTCATTTAGTAAATAGTCGAAAAATTTCTGTCCCTTGTTTTGTCTCATAAGAAGAATATTTTCTGGGAGAAAAGTAAAGAGTATCTGAATATAAGGGTCAAAAAGTGGAGGTTAAAAAATGAGGGTCCGAATATTAGGGTCAAAAGATTAGGGTTAGAATATAAAAGTAAAACAAGTGGGTTTTTTAACCCTAACATTCTGACCCTCATTCCTTCACCTTTATATTCAGGCCCTCAGTCTTGGACTCTACTACTCCGACCCTCTTTAGTGTCCGACCCTTACATTACACTTGACAGCGCTTGGTACAACCCGGGCTGATACTAATATAAATAATCATCCTCGAATTGAAATACCCATCCGCCATTCAAGTATAAAATACATTTAAATCAATTATATTTCATTCTTGAATCACATTTATACATGTACTTCATTCTAGTATGAAGTATACTCCATTCAAGTATATTTTTTTTCGTGTAATTGGCCTAAAAAAATCGAACGATCAGGCTCACAAAGTCATTAGCGGAAAATAAACTCTCCTGTATTGTTTACAGACAGGGGCATTCCTGGAATGTCCAATGGACCCTCTGAAGTCTGCATTTACATAGCAATAATCGTTGTTTCTACCGAATCGTGCAAGCGAAATTCACGAGAGAGTTCTGGACAATTATCGGTAGTAATTCACCCGCTAAATTGATGGATAATAAAAATGAGAAGTGTGCGAAATGGACACTGCGCATTCAGTAGATAATGAACAATCGATGTGAAACAGACACGGTTAATAATGCTGTGTGAAATTTTTGACACACTTCTTGGAAATTTGTGTCGGCTGAAAGTTCCGCTGAATTTTGAGGAATTTCGGCATTCATAGTTTACAATTTGATGAAAAAATTAATTGAAAATATCAATTTCAGGGTAATTACACTGAGAAAATTAATATCATGAAAATTCAGGGTACTGAATTTTTTCTTCATTTGAAAATTCATGTAAATTGGCAATTCTTCATCTTACCTATTTTTTTTATTCATTTTTTAATATTAACAAAGGCTAAAATCTATTTTTCGATTTTCTCTTCTGTTAAATATAAAATCATCTCGATATTAATGATCTATTTTACAAAAAAATGTGAAGGCATTTTTCATTGGAAATGTTTCTCTATATTATAAAAATCCAAATCGACTTCTGGTGATATAAACTTGGTCCTCGAGATTAACATTCCGCAATTAAAGGTCTCAAGGGGCAAAATAAGGGTCACGAGGGTCAAAATAACGGTCAGGAAGTTCAAAATCATGAGGGTCAGGATAAGGGTCACAAGGATCATAATAATGGTCACAAGAGTTAAAATATAAGTTATGAGGATTAGAATAAGGGTTACGAGGGTCAGTTTCAGAGTCACAGGTGTCAGATTAAAGGTCATAAGGGTCACGAGGGTCAGGTTAAGGGTGACATGGGTCAAATTAAGGGTCACGAGGGGTGTAATGAGAGCCACGAGCCTCAGGTTGAGGGTCGCAAGGGTTAGACTAAGGAAGATGAAATTCCTCATCTTTTGAATGAAAAAACCTCATTCAAATCTCATGAAAATCCAATGCAACTCGTGTGAAATGCTCATTGTTACCGTGCTGTGAACTAAAGTAGGTAGTTGGTGCATTTCTTTTCAACAATAGAATCTTGATATCCAATTTTTCAAGACGCAAAATATGAGCAATTGACATCGATCGGTTTATCACGATGAACCGCGATGATATCGCGCGATTTCTAGGGTATTATCTCTCATACTGCCACAAAGTATGAATTTCACGAAAGGAAAAAATGAAGATTGCATGGAAAATGCAGCATAAAATGATCGATAAGAAAATGAGGTGGAAAAAAATGTGATATAATCTGCGATTCTTCGTATAAATGTCAATGGAAAGTGAGTGAAATCATTCAGTGAAGAGATCCACCCAGTGAAATGATGTTCAAGTTCTTGGTGTTGGCTTTTCTAGTTGTCACCGGCTTCGGTGAGTGCATCAAGAAAAATAAATTTTCGTTTCAAGTAGGTCGCGACTTCATTCAAGTATTGTTTATATTCAGTTCAAGTAGGAAGAATATGATTCAACCGATGCGAGTTTCTGACGGATTTTGTGTATTGAAAAACATTTGTTTATGAAAACTGGTGTCAATGCTAGAAAAACTAGGGCCTGAGATTAAGACATTTCGGTCCTCTTATTTAAGACGCTTTTGTCTCAAAATTTCGATCATTTTTAGTGTCTCAAATTAAGACATTCAGACGTCTAAAGATGGAACAAGCGAGAAATTGCTTTCGTCACAATGTAGTCAATATATTTTGCTAATATCATAAATTAGTAATTTTTTTTCCGAACGTAATTTCAGTGACGATGGATTTTAAATTGAATTCAATAATTCGTTAAATTCAACGTTGGCTCAATATTGACCGCCAACATTGGCCCAACATTGGCTACCAACATAGACCCAAACGAAGCCAACACATTTATGTGTCTAACGTCTTAAATTAAGACCTGCTAAAACCCCCAATTTTGACAGTATAATCCGAAATCTACTTGAACTGCGTCACTTCTCCGAATTGAATCACGAATTGTGTTTCTTTCAGTCGGTTTCCCAATTTCGAATGGTTGAAAAGTTCAATCAATCCGATTGGCCCTGTTTCAAGATACTATGATGTTATCGATCCAACTGGCCAGTCTCATTACTCATTCATCAATTCCCCTTGTTCCAATCTTGATTCAACGTGTGCGATATCCTATTTGCAGCAAACGCAAGCCCGTGGTACAGTCGTATCAATCCATTCACTCCGAATGGACGCATCGTTGGGGGTGAGCCAACGACAATCCAGGAGGTGCCGCATCAAGTATCCCTCCAGGTTAACGGGTTTGGTTTCTGCGGTGGTATTATCATTGGTAAGGAGTGGGTATTAACTGCTGGTCATTGCGCTATTTATTCGACTGGGCAAGTGACTATTCGGGCGGGGACAGCGAGAAAGGCCAGCGGGGGATCTCTTCACAGGGTTTCAAAGGTAAATTGCACGCACGATTTTTGGAAATTCTTACTCGGAGAAAATTATTTGGTGAATTTCAATAAGTAGTTGATGAATTTCAATACCCAGCTAATAATTTACCAGTAAATTTCTGGATATCTACCGGTCTTGCTCGGGACTTTGAGATGGCATCCGTACAAATTGTTCCCTGGGTAACTAGTTGGTGAAATTTTTTGTAAGATTCTTGGAAATTTCTGACAAGTAACATTTACACTGAAATTTCAAGGACTTTTGTCTTTGAAAGTTTATAATTTCACGGAAAAATACGTGAGAACTGTAAATTTCAGTAAATGTAAATTCCGGACAAATTAATGAAAAATGAGGAAATTTCAGGGAAATCTTCCTTCAAAATTCCTAGAATTCCCAGAATTTGAAAGGATTCCCTGAAAATTCAAGGGAATTTGGCAATGAAAATTCCTTTTCACTTGAAAAATCATGTAAATTGTGGAATTTTCTTTTCGTCGTTTTTCCGCAAAAAAATTTGGACTTCACTTGGATTTTCAGAGAAACTTAAAATGCCATTGACTTTTCTCCTTAAATCGAATTCAAAGTCTTTTCCTGGAAAATTCACTCAAATTGCTTTAACAATCTAAGGATATCCCTGTATCTTTTACAGTTTGTTACAGACCAATGCAATTTGTCAATCAACTTGCATTTTGCACAGAATTATAATTTTTTTAAACATTCGTTATTTGTAAATAAATACTTGAAGTTGTTCAAACTTTCAGAAGCCTCATTTTTAGGCATAAAATTTATTTCTGGTAAAATTTTGAAAATGAATAAATTTGCTACGATTCCGAGCAATGATTTTTATGGTAAAAAATGGATTGTTTATGAATTATTTATAAAAAATGCTCGTAATTTTAAAAAATTGCAATTTTTTAATTATTTCATGAATCTTCCTCCAGCAATAAACTTTCTACTTATTTTTCACTTTAAAAAAATATTTTCTAACGGTTCAGTACCGAAATTCAAGTTCAGCCCTGCAACCTTTAAATAATAAAATATTCTAAAATGTCCAGAAACTCAGGGTAAAATGAGACTCAAATGAAACCTCTGATGTCAGACTACACAAGTAGAAACGCATTTCACTGGATAAAAAATAGCCAATGTCCTTGGATATCCTTAACCAGCTCAATTCCCCAATTTCCATGTCTCCAGATAATCCAGCATGAAAAATACTCAACCAACATGTACGGCATTCCCATAAACGACGTAGCCGTCATAAAACTCCGAACCCCATTCCAACTCGACGAGACGCGTCGCGCAGTTGACCTCTTCAACTTCCAAGAGCCAGCTGAACAGGGCGTTAAGGCAGTGATCACGGGATGGGGCGCGACAATCGAGGGGGGTGGAACCGCCGCGGTCCTCAACCGAGTCAGTGTCCCAATAATTTCCAAGGAAACTTGCAACGAAGCCTACAGGAGCTTCGGTGGTCTGCCAGCCGGACAGATCTGCGCTGCCTACCCGAACGGAGGGAAGGACGCCTGCCAGGGTGATTCAGGTGGTCCACTGACCATTGAAGGTCGTCTCGCTGGGATTGTCTCGTGGGGCAATGGATGCGCCAGGCCCGGCTACCCCGGAGCCTACACTGAGGTCGCATCCTTCCGGGATTGGATCCAGGAGAAAACTGGGATTTAAGGAACTTCCGCACTCAATTTTAAGGCTATGGAGTGGGGGAAAGCATCAAAGGTTCGACACCGAGTTCCGAGTGAAATAAAAAGTAGAATAAATAAACGACATAAAAGGCATTAAAAATCATTTCAAAAGTTCCTGTGCAATTTCCTTGGGTAATACTTTTGCTGCGTCTAGGCTAAACTAATTCGAGTGGTAAAACATACTCAGGGACTTTACCACAGTTTCAGTACAGCTGTAAACTAGGTTGTAAATTACTCCAACTTCATTCAACTGGAAAGTTAACTCGGCGTACTTGTTAAATAAGGAGAATGCATTAATGAATTATGTAGTTTAAACATTGTGCGAGTTAAGGGGATACTACTATTTCTCACACATTGAAGATCGATTATAAATGTCTGAAATGAATAATTAGTGCAAAAAAATTAATTGTTTATGGTTCATTTGCTCCGCGGAGGCTTAAAATGTTGAAAATAGTCCAGGGCCTCTGATTTTTTAGCTACGGAATTATTTTTTTCAAAAGTATTGAAAAAATGTGTACAATAAGCAGGGATAGTCATAGTCATGAATCATAATTAACGATAAATTTTGAAGCTATTATTTAATTAATATCACACTTAAATTTTCAATTATTTTAGTAATCATCAATTTAAATTTTCAAATTCTGAAGTTAAAAATCCCCTGAAGTCAAAAATCATAAGTAATCATTCAAATTTTCATAAATTCATAAATATCATAAATTATTTCTTTTAATCACAGCATATTTTATCATTTTTTCAGAATTAAAATTCCCCAGGAACTAAAAAAAATGACTTCATGTCAGAAAAATATTTCTCGTTCTTCTCCAAATTCCAACTTTAGTTCTCCGTGATATTTTCACTCCCATATCGTTCAAAACTGTAGTGACACCTGAACTGGCAATTGATCATAAACTTATAAAAACCTGAGCGACATAAATCTGTACACTGACCCGACACTCGCATTAGCCCGAGACAAAGAAATTTCACCTCCGAAGCTGTAAAAAACTTCTGACACGATAATAAAAGTTCGAAGGCTCAACCGAGGTAGATAGCCACTATTTTTACCCGGAGAAAGGGTGAAAGTACGATAATAAAAAGGGAAGAAAAATTTTAAGGAAGAAGTAGAGAAAAGCCTGACTGGAATCTTTCGTTCCACTGGCTGGAAGATATCTGTAGGGTAGTGTCGGCCATCAGCAAACTTTTCCACAAAAGCACGGTAACTGTAATTCACGTCTGCTCTAGTGGGCCAGAGCGAATGGTGTAGGCGACGGGGGGGGGG